TATATATATATATATATATATATATATACAGTACGAAAATGTATTTAAAGTGGAAGTTTCGACTTAATTATAGACCAAAGTATAACGCACCAAATACTTGCAGGATGGGCCGTTATTAGAAAGTAATACATTTTATTTGAACTTAATGTAACGTAGGGATTATACTGTATGGGAATGGCACCAGCTTAGTGTAGCAAATTTTAATATAATTCCGAATTTCGTATTGAGTAGTTTCATGTTGAAATAAACGAAAATGCGGACGGCCACGACTTACCTGTTAGAGGGTGAGATTTAGGTTCTCACGGCGCTGAGTATGAAGATGGTTGTATTCAGCATTGTTGTGTCGTGTGTTCTGGTAGACCAGGGGTCGTCAACCTGGTCCCTACCGCCCACTAGTGGGCGATTCAAGCTTTCATGGTGGGCGGTGGGGGTTTTTGTTCTTCCATATATCGAATACATTGCTAACAACTTCGCGAGTTTGACTTTTTAAAATATGCTTTTGTAATTTACTTTGGAATTCCATCTCTAAACTTTGAATATAGATAATAATTCACCGGACACTTCTCGAAGTATACTCGTGGACGAGGGAGCAACGAATGAGCTCCGTAGCTAAAGGCACGAGTTTAGTGCGAATAACGAGGACGGGGCTTATCACCGGCCATCACTCAGTCTTCGAGCTGTACCTCTTTCATGGTGGTGGGCAGTTCGTGCGGCACCGGTGGGAGGTAGGTATAAAAGGTTGACGACTCCTGTGCTAGACGTTTCAAAGGTGCTAGCAACCACCCTGAAGATGAAGGGAGCAAGCACATCGGAAACGTTGGTAAACTACCAGACTACACGGCGCATCAACCCGAAGACAACCACATTCCTACTCATTACGAGTTCACTGTGTATGTACTTAGTGAGTTAACACGTAAGAAAAGGATATCCATAACACATACATACAGGACACATATATGATATTATAACCATTTCTAATGTATTGACCTTAAGTAAAATGTGCAAAAGAGAGGAAAACTTTAATAGTATAGACAAATGAAGCATAGTTTAATTAATAAACTAAAAATGTAAATGACGGACACCAACATCGATTAATAACCTGACATTCCAAAGAATATATAAATATCCTTGAACTAGATATCAGCGTTTATTCCTTCATCAGAATACATATAAAACTGTACCAGCAGTACAACACGAACAAAATCAAGATATCGTACGCGCACCCCCCCCCCCAACCGTGAAATTTAAAAAAAATTATTTTATGAAAACCACTGAATAATCAGTAATTTAATTTATTTTAGATGTAGATTATATACTATGTATAATTTGAATTATACACCAACAACTTTGGGGGTACAAAGTTGAAGAGAAATTATATCTGGGGGTACGCGAACAAAAAAGGTTGAATACCACTGGTATGAAGAACTGAAATTATGTATAACCTTCTACAGCAACTATGTAAATGGGATATTTAAAATACGACTCTATATTTTACAAAAAGATAACGCGACACAAATAAGTAGCCCAATTGTGCATGTGGTAATAACGATTTTATATATTCTAGTGGTTTTATAGATTGAAACAGTGTGAATATTATTTACGTTAACAGTGCATGGACTAATG